AATGGATGGATGTCATCAGTTTTCATACGAACAGTGATGACATCACAGCTTTAAGGATGAAATAGTGTTTTATAGACCCTTTTCACAGTGACGTCAGACAATGGCCGCCGTAACTCGAAGTGGTGTATCTTTACTTCCGGTGTGATTTTGCCTCGTGAAACCTGACTGAAAAATTCACGGATACTCATTATCTCAAGGATATAATAAAAGGTAAGGTTAATAACAGCAGCATTTACGTGTTAGATAACCGTTATTACTCATTGTTAATTCACATTCTCTGACTGTGTAAAATAAACAGCCTCCGATCGGAGAGTAAACCAGCTAGCAGCAGCTTTAGCCACAGTTAGGAAACATAAACACCGCTGCCTGTCAGTGCTGTGTTGTTAAGTTTCACTAAAATCACTGACATCTTCCAACACTTGTTTAGAAAAGCATTTTAAATATTGATTTAAGCGCCACCTGCCAAATAATTTACATATTCTGATGGTATTCATAATTTCTCCATTTGTGTTGTTGTCCATCTTTCTCAGCAGTAGCCGACCTGACAACCTACCATATCTGGGATGGTCTTGTTCCTCTGTCCATGGCAGGTTCAGTCAATCAGCTGTGGGACATCTGCTGCCTAACGTCAAACTATCATGGGCCTCTTGATTTAAAAGGAGAAACCAGTACAGAGCCTCCCTGCTCCTGCAAGCCACACTTCTTGGATGAACACTCAATACTGCAGCTGTTAGAAATGAAATCTTTGTGTATCTATCCTTTAATTAATATCTATATGTATCTATTAATAAATGAATTGATGTTGTGTAGAGTTCTGTAAAAACTATTGTAAATAGCTTCTCTTGAGTAATCTACATATGTGCAACTTTTACATTTAAATTGCATCTTTTTGTAAATTTTACACATCTGGCAATGAAATATGTGGATGAGAAGAAATGCTAAATTAAAGCTGCCATTGTGGTTTGTGGCTGTTTCTTTAAAACATCTATGTAATAATTAATAATTATATTAAACACTGTAGATGGTTACTACATTACACAAACATTATCACTGTTAACAATTTAGTCATTGATAGAGAAAATGTATTTACAAAAGGCATATCAATTTTATTTTAACAGTATGTACTCAGGGTTTACAACTTAAGAAGACATCCATGTAGGGTCCTTGGCAGGTGGCAGTCTGCAGTGAACTGGTCCCAGTCTGCAGTGAACTGCAGTGAACTGGTGCCAGTCTGCAGTGAACTGCAGTGAACTGGTGCCAGTCTGCAGTGAACTGCAGTGAACTGGTACCAGTCTGCAGTGAACTGGTGCCAGTTTGCAGTGAACTGGTGGATGACAGAGGTAATGGTAAACTGTAGTGAGCAGTTTGGAGCAGAAGTCCCACCATGTGATCCACAGGGTTTTCCCACCTGAGCACAAACTTCATGCTCTTCGTTTCCACAGGCACCACAACAGAATCAACTGTAACCTGTTAAAAGGGATATGAAGTTATTATTCCTGTTATCAATTTTCTACTGCCAAGTCTGCAGGAAAACAAAGTAAAAGAAACTTAACCTTCTAATCATAACTGTCATGAAGTGGTGAATGGAAGGTGGTGAGGATGAACGCA